CATATCATTCAAAGTTTGGATTCCTTTGCAGTGGCGAGCTTGATGAGATCCTTCCTAAGAATCTTTCCAGATGCATTCTTAGGTATGGAATCCACAAATGCTACCTTCCGAATCCTCTTGTATGGGCTAACCTACACATATTTAACAGGAGACTAATTGTTAAAAGGAGATGAAAGCATGCATATAAAAGCACTTCATACATACCTGTCCGGCTACAAAATTCATGACTTCATTCCCTGATAAATTGCTTCCAGGTCTTCTTACTACATATGCCATGGGATACTGCCCAACTTCCTTATCAGGAAACCTGATATATACATAACATGATCAAATTAAGGCTTGCTTCTTTTCTTTCTGATAACATGATATCCAACTTTTGACATGATTAATTTCATGAGTGTATCTAATTTTATAAAGGGTTTTAAAGATTTACGGTATGACAGCAGCATCAACAATTTCAGGATGCGAAAGCAGTAATGCCTCTAGTTCTGCAGGAGGGACCTACAGATTACAATGTAATTAAACATAAGATATAGTTAATTTGTTTGGTTGGTTCATCCTCTCCAATATAACTAAAATCTTTCTCAGTACCTGATATCCCTTGTATTTAATCAGCTCCTTCAACCTGTCTACAACAAAAATGAAGCCATCCTCATCAATGTAACAAAGATCCCCAGTCTTCAGCCATCCCTCTAAATCAAGAGTCAATCTTGTAGCATCTGCATTATTGAAGTAACCTACAATATGTAATAATATTGTGTCTTATTTTCATATCATTTTCTCTTTTCAAAATCAAGATATCAAATACATGAATTCTTAATGGCTGGGAAATTCTACTACATCAAGATAATATCTCAACTCTAACTTAGTTTTTTAAATCCATGTTAGAAATATTTCTAACTTTTAGTAGAACAATTAATAATTAATGCTTCATTTTAATCTTCATCTAAACATATCTTCCACGAACCTCGTCCATGCTACTATCTTAATAACTTTATTTTTATATAAAAAATACATATATCTTATTTTACAGTTCAAACTGTATATTAAATAAAGAATAATATTATTTCTTAAAAAAATAATTAATATATCTTTTAATTCAATACATAAATTTTATGAAATTCAACTATTAAAATTTATAATTTTAAATGTTTTTTCTTAATTAAAATTTAAAAATAATAAATTTTAATAAATATATTGAGAATATACAAATAATTGTCCTTTTAGAAAGACATACCTTTCATAATGTTGGGACCCCTCAGCCAAAGCTCACCTGTCTGATTGACCTCCAATGTCTTTCCGGTGTCTGGGTCCACAATTTTGGCCTCCATGCTCGACGATAAACGGCCCACCGTGCCGTACATCCTACTCTCCTCCACCGTGTTTGTTGATGCGCCAACCCCCGTTGACTCAGTCAAACCATACCCTTGAAGAATTGTGACCGTCGGATACTTCTCCACGAATCCGTCAATTACCTCCCTTCTTAGTGGCGCCCCACCACACACAACTGTTTTCATCGAACTTAAATTGTACCTCCGTCGTATCTCATCCGCGCCGTTCACCATTGCCACCAGTATCGGCGGTACCAGGGGGATGTACGTCGCGCGATACTTTTCGATTGCCGATAGCATATTGTGGATTTCAAATTTCGACAGAACCACAACCGTCGATCCCATTGCCACTGTTCCGGTGGCGAACGCCGTCAAGCCGTACACGTGGAACATCGGAACGGTGCAAATATACGTATCCCGATCATCTAGAGAGAACCGTTGTATCAGTGTGCTCACCAGCGCGATTAGATTTCTGTGAGACGTTACCACTCCCTTGCTGGCGCCCGTTGTACCTGAGGAGTAAAGCAGAGTCGCCGTGTCTTCCTGTTCAACTCGTTCCCGGACTCTATTTTGACTCGGTTCCTTCTTCATCATCTGATCCAACGTCGAAACGATTTTCGATTCCCTCGTGTGATTAATTACATACTCGTCTAGAAGAACGATGGGGAAATTTGAACCGGCAATTTTGTGAACGAGTTGGGTAGTAGTAAACGCGAGAACCGGCTTTGAATCGGCGATTTGTTTCTTGATTTCAGAAGGAGTGTTGAGAGGGTTAGTTGTGGTGATAATCGCGCCGAGGGACATAACGGAGAGGCAAACGACGGGGAAGAAGATTGAGTTTGGAGAAAGCAGGAGGACGACGTGGCCTTTTCGGATACCCATGTCAGAAAGACAAGTGGCAACGGAATCAACCGCTCCCCAGAGTTGGGAGAAGGTTAAGTGGCGGCCAGTGGCGGCGTCGATGAAGGCAATCTTGCCATGGTGAGCCTGAGAGGAGATGAATGTGGTGACATCCAAGAACTGGCTCGGCGGCAGAGGAATGGGTTCGCGTTTGCTGTAGAATATCGAAGATGATCTGCAAAACCCACTACGTGGGTCGATTATCAAGTTGCTGCTTTCCGCCGCCATGATTGAAACGCTCAGTTTCTGAGGTTCAAAAAAAGGAAATGCTGTGTTTCCGGTGGTTAAGTCCACTAATGGAATTGTAAAGTTGCATTTAAGCTTATTCTTACGGTGTGTAGTGGCAATTGCAGGTTTAGTTGAGTGGGGTTTTCAAAATTTGGTAATGATGGTGATGTAGAAAATTTGGGATGAAAATTTAAATTTAATAATTAATATATATAAAATATTATAATCAATAAATTAAATAATTTAATGAATATTTATTTTCGTTAAAAATAATAAATTTTAAATTTGAATTATATGAAATGCAAGTAAAATAA